CACTGACTGTATATAAAGATGATCACTGACTGTATATAAAGACCATCACTGACTGTATATGAAGACAGTGTCAGGTTGTATGGAATCATTGTGTGTCTCGTACAGGTCAGCTCCGCCCTCCCTGTAGTGGACACCAGGGGGACGAGGACACCGGCTCACATCCAGCTCAAACTGAAGAAGCTGCAGGTCAGAGGTCTCACAAACCAAACGTTAAAACGTGAAGCACATTATTTATCAGCTGTCAGTTAAATCTGAGGGACACAGACATGATGTCTTGTCTGGTTTCTGTGGTCCAGCTGCAGGACGAGCGACTGTCGACCATCGACAGAAATAATCGTCTCCTGGCCTCCAGACTGGCCGACATCGTCTGCTCTAAAGGCCTCGTGGACAATCACAACCAGTACCACCTGAGGAGGTAATCTGATCAGCAGGACTGAGTTAGTGAGGAACTAGTCCTGGTTAAAGTTCGGGGGAAGTTTTTGGACTGGACATCAATGAAACAAGGACAGCTGTGTGTGTGTAGTCCAGGTTTTTGTCATGTTGTGGGGATTTGTCTTTCTTATGGGGACAAAAAGCAAGTTCTCATAACATCCATCCATCCATTGTCTTCTTCTTCTACGGGCTCGGGTCGTGGAGGTAGCTCATCAAATAGAATATCCCAGACGTCCCTCACCCCAGTCACACTTTCCAGCTCTTCCTGGTTGATCCCGAAGCTTTCCCAGGGCTGATGGGATATGTAGTCCCCTCCAGTTCTGGGTCCAGAAAACTCATTCGGCTGCTTGTATTCATGACCTTGTTCTTTAGGTCACTACCCAGAGCTCGTGACGATAGGTGAAGGTTATCATGTAGCTCGACTGGTAAATCTAAAGCTTTACCTTGGGGCTCAGCTGTTTGTTCACCGACCCCCCCATCCATCTCACGCTCCATCGTCCCCTCGCTGGAGAACAAGACCTGAATACTGACACTCTTTCACTGCCCCACGTTCCTGTGAATCATTCAAATTAGAGGTGAAACAAGTTGTTGAAGTGAGTCTGCAGTAAATCAGTGTCCTCTGAAGCTCACTTCAGACATTTCTGATTGATCATTGTCACTGTCTCCTTCAGTCTGAACGCTGACAAGAGGAGGGAGGAGCTTCTGCTGGTCAGTCGCCAGAATCAAGCCATCTACCAGCGGATCACGTCCCGCCAGTCGGAGTATCGCCGCCAGCTTTGGTTGGACGACTGGGAGAGGGCGGAGCACCGGCGGGAAAACATTTCCCAGTTCCCCAGAGGCCTCGCAGAAAAACAGGTGGGAAGAAAAAAATCAATCTTTACTTTCTGAACTTGTGCATCAGAAAACATTGAGAACGATTAACGACAGATGAGGCGTAACTGTTGGACTGAACGGACGCTGTGGTGGTTCATTAAAGGCCCGCGGCGAATAAATGGAGAGAACAGATAAATGTTCTTTCTCCAGCTGAGAGAAAGAGAGAGAGAGAGTGTGACTGTGTGTTTGTGTGTCAGCAGAGGTCCAACAGAAAGGTCACGTTTACGGCTGTGCAGGACGGCGAGCGATCACCGGGCTGCAGCAAGGCCGATGCCCGGGAGGCTGAGGGAGGAGCCTGAAAGACAAGCGAGCTGGAGCAGCAACACACACACACACACACACACACACACACACACACACACACACACACACACACACACACATCACAGCTTGACGTTGTTTTCCTGTCATTTGAATCCAAAAGTCAAAACTTTTGAGCTCTGTCATTTATCACTGAACTGAGACGTCATCACATCTGAGTTCTTTTATCATCACAGACAAAACAGCATGAGGTGAAAACATGAGTGCACAGTTGTGTCCACTGGGTGGCAGTAAAGACATGTCTCCTGAGGGGCTGCAACATCGAATTAACTGATGAATGTTCTTGATTAATCCATTTCTCTTTTTTTAATTAATAGCAAAACTAAAGAAAGGGAGAATCATCATTTAAAATGATATCAACAGAAAATAATCTTTGATTATGAGATTAAAGTTTTTAGTACATCTGCAGAAATGTTTAAAGGGCTGTTATCACATTGTCATGGAGGATTATTAAAAACAGAATAATTAAATGTGAAGCCGCTGTAGTTGATTGATTTTCCATCGATTGATAATGACATCTGGATTTGTTGCACATCTGCAGGTTCAGTATAATATTCAACATATATATTAAACGTCCCATAAATATATTTAAATAGATAAATAATTGAATCCTTTTATTGTTGAATTTAATCTCAAGGTGGAGCAGCCGTTGTGTTTTAGAGGCCGGACTGTAGGATTGTTTTTTTGTTGCCTTCTCCTCCAAACACAAACAGACCGGAGGTTAATGAGAGAATGTGTAAACGAGNCCCCCCCCCGCAGGACCAGTGATATAGTCAGGATTGTTGTTATTGAAGATTGTCCAAGTTAAGGACTATTTCAAAGACTTGATCAAAATGTTATTACGTTATCCTGGACAAAGTAAAATGACATTGTTCAAATGTAATCGGGTTTATTTATAGTCACCCATGATCCCACTGTCATGTAATCCATCAGTCCGAACCCTGAGGTGTTATTCAGAGTAGGAGCAGCC